TCGTGTCTCAGGGATTCCCCCCCCCGGCTGCTGATGTGGCAGTGATGTCCCTTGTGTCTATCTTTGCCCCCCCAGTCTGCGCAACAGAGAACGAGCTTGCGCCCATCGATCAATAGGCGGCAAATGTGCCGCTAGGGTGCAATGACCATCCGGGCCAGGTCCAGTCCTCATCCTCATGCGACGACCTCCGCCGTCATCTCCGTCCGCCGTACGGATCCTCGGGACGTAATCGGAGTCATCAGGATCGTCGGCGCCTGTGGTCTCACCGCACTCAGCGGCTGTGGAGCTGTTGTCGTGGAGGATGATCGTGCCGCCTCGTCTCTTCTCACCTCGACCTGCTTCGTCCACTCTGTCACCTCCCTCCGCCCCCCCCTGTCCATCTGCGGCAGCTGACATCTGTCTGGTCTCGTCCTGTTGCGGAAAAAAGGATGCAGGCGGCGCCGGTGATATGGAATCGACACACCTGTTCCCTTCTTCCTCGCCCGTGACAGCCTCGCAGTTGCCGTCCTGGTGTCGTTGACATCGCTCGTCTTGGCCTGTATAGACCTCCCATGCTGCTCCTCGTAAGCTCTCATGGAATCATGACAAGTGCCGTCGACGTTGCCGATCGATCGCGCCTCCGCGGGCACATCTGCCGGTCCATATGCTGATGTCTGTTCGATATCGCCCGCCCTCCGGTCCATGCCCGCACCGTCGTAGAAAGACCTCGTAGGCAATGCGCTCGGCGTGGCCTGCCCGTAGGTGCCAGGATCAGCGGCAGAGGGGCGTGAGGGTGGTGGACACATAATGTCATGCATCCCCGTCAAATGCGGTCGAGGCTCATCTGTGTGCCCGTCTCCAACGTCATGTGTACTGGGCCTGACAATGATGGGGTGTGCGGTCGATGACCCTCTGCGCTCGATGCCCCCCCTGAAGGACCGTCCACCATCTATGCTCCCTAGCTGCGCTGTATCCTCGCTCACGCCCTCGCCTCCGTCCGAGCGGATAACTCCGGGAGGCCTCGCCTCTAAAGTCTCCGCTGRCCCTCGATGTGGCTCTTGCTGTGGGCCCTCCTCTGGTGGATGGACTGATGACACGCCGTCCGATAACARCTGCGAACCATGACCCCCCTGCGCCAAAAAATCTCCAGACGCTGCCTCTAGTGAACCTTCCAGACTACGTTGAG